CAATACAAATATATAATATACCAAAAATTCTGTGCGTCTCCTGGGGGCTAAGCCCCCGTTGTCCTTAAAACCTAGTAACACCCCTGGTCTGGTGATTACCTAATTGATTTATTTATTTACTTATTTATCAAATTTATTACTGTGAATGTTCATTGACTGATTACTTTATGGATGAAAGTATATGGTGATAATAAAAAAATGTTTAATCCCAGTCAGTTCTGATGATGAAGAAAAGATAGATAGGACTAAAATTAAACGTTCTAGTTCCGGTGGAAACGGAAAAAAAAATAAAAAAATAAAAAATGAGGAAGAAGTGCCATGAATAAAGCTCTCTGCTCAAGTTTGCTGTTACATTCAAGAATTTTAAGCACAAATAATAAAAAAGACGGACATCATCAGGTTTGTTTCGTAACAGACAGCACAGAAACCTGACAGCATTTCAGCAACTCAACACTGATGAGCTGAGGCTGAAGCCTAAATTCTAAACATAGGTCAAAGTCCTGTGAGGCAAATTCAGGTGAACTGGAAAACCTCAATTAACAATTTTATATCACACTACAGTGCTGTAGTTGAACATTTATTTGTATTGAAAAGAGTACATATGAATTAAAAATCAGAGCAGCATCTAGCACATGACAATCCAGTCAAATCAGATGCATTTTCATGTTTTTGTTCTTCCTTTTTTCAGCTCCCTGTGGACCTGGGGTTTCCTTGATCCCTGTCTGGGAGACGCTGCAATACATCATCATTAAAAAGACTCCTAACATGGCAGCACAGTGCCACTGTGGAATCCATATCAGATTTTCTAGTTTATACAGTACTCCAGAGGATACCATTGCTGAGCCATCATTTTTCATAGTTATGCACTGCCATAACTTGTCGCAAATATTAAAATGAAACAGTTAAAAATAATGCTGGATTTGTTTAGAAAAGTTTGTTAACCCATTAAAAAACACTACACACCCTGACCAGAATTAWTTTTTACTGATTGGAACTGCTTCCTTTTAGAGTAAAATCTGGATTGTTAAAAAGGAGCAGGGAACCACTTTGTAATTCTAAAAACCTTCACAGAACCWCATCATTATGTCACAATGAAAGTGTCTTTTTTTAGGAAGCATAATTACCAATGCTGTTGGCCAAAGTCGCATGCTAGATAACAGGTTTTACACAACATGTATGGGCATATTGACATTCTGTTTGTTTATTTTAAAAAATCAGTAACAACTGATGATGTGTCTGTTTCTTAAAGAGATGATCCATTTTCACAGAAAATGTCTAATACACTTTGTGACTTTGAATAAAAGGCCAAAGGTTGGGGTAGGACTAACACTAGGGCATGGGATATTTCCTAACAACACTCACAACATTTTAACTATTCATTAGCCTCCATGGTGACCCCAGGTCCAGTTGGTGCAGATAAAACTTGGTCTGACTACAGTGCATGTTTTTGAGTCAAATGGTGGTTAAAATGGGAAATAAATCTGATGCTAAGTTCCTTTTCACACTTGATGAGACCCCACTACATCATATAAAATCAGCCAGAACATGGATGGTCTTTGCAGGGTCTTAGTAAGATCATCAGGGGGCACATTGGGAACATAGTGGGATCCCTATGGAGCCTGATATGTCCATAATGGTTTGGTGAATATGTAAAACTTTCATAGTGAGGTTGGGTTGATTTATCATCACAATAATAGCATTTTGGATTCTGGGGGGAGCCTGGTGCTAGAGATACATGGGGCTCATGGTTGCCAAGAATTTGAGGTAGGTCKGGTTATGTTGGTCTTATGCCTAATCTATGTGAGATGCTCATGGAAACAATCTGGTGCAGACATGATATCAGTGATGGTAGTGGTTGTCATGCTAATTAACTTGTTTAACTCAGTGCCATCCTGCACAACAAATAAATGCTGATATGAWATTTTACCTAAACATAGCACAAAAAATAAGGATACAGTATTTGTGTTTGGTAGATTGTTTTTTGTTGTAACAATGCTTCTTGTCAATAAATCTTGTACTGGGAACCTGATTGACAGCACATGGGGGTATCAGAAACTCAGTTTG